ACACACACACACACACACACACACACACATACACACACTATAATTCGTAAAGGTGTGTCCTGGTGTCAACGCCACGTACCGTCAGTAGCGACAGAAAGATTAATGTGACGCCCTCCCGCACCTGCCGTCACCTCCGCACCTGCCGTCACCCTCCCGCACCTGCCGTCACCCTCCGCACCTGCGTCACCCTCCCACCTGCCGTCATCCTCCCGCACCTGCGTCAACCCCCCCGCACCGTCACCCTCCCGCACCTGCTGTCAACCCCCCCGCACCGTCACCCTCCCGCACCTGCCGTCAGCCCTCCGCACCTGCCGTCACCCTCCACACCTGCCGTCAACCCCCCGCACCCGTCACCCTCCCGCACCTGCCGTCAACCCCCCCACCGTCACCCTCCCGCACCTGCCGTCACCCTCCCTGCCGTCACCCTCCACACCTGCTCGTCAGCCCACCCCTCCCTGCCGTCACCCTCTCCCGTCACCCTCCCACCTGCCGTCACAAGTATCTAGAAAATATGAAAGTTGTTGAGATGTGTACTCTAAGTATGTATGTATGTATGTATGTATGTATGAATGAGTGTTGGTGTTTGTGGGTGGATGTGAACAGCCATTTGGTAGGTGTGGGCAGGGTTGAGAGATATGCAAACTGGAAGTGGATGGGCGGATGGGTGGGTCGTGGTGAGGTTGGGTGGGTGGGTGGGGAACACTCCCCAAATTACCGAGGAGGACGGGCTTATCTGAAGAGCCAACAAACTCGAGAGAGAGAGAGAGAATATTACCAATCATTATTTAGCTAACCAACCGCTGTACACAAAAGGTCACGCAACTCACACACACACACACACACACACACACACACACACACACACACACACATGATGACTCAGTGGTTTTAATTCAGCCGGTAATTGATCGCCGGACCATTACATCGTTGGTAAACTTTCCTCAGTACTCTCTCTCTCTCTCTCTCTCTCTCTCTCTCTACCTGGGAGGGAAGATAGGGAGGACAAACAGGTAGGGAGGACAGGGAGGAGGAGTGGAGGACAGAGAGGAAGGTAGGGAGGACAGAAGGAGGTAGGGAGGACAGGAAGGTAGGGAGGGACAGGAGGGAGGTAGGGAGGACAAGGCTCTTACCTAACATAATATCGACCGGATCTATACACGGCCTCAACCCCTAGAATCTCTTCAACACTAAGAGAACACCTCCATCTCCTCCTCTCCTTCCTCACCTTCCTTCACCCCCCTCCCTTCCCTCCCCTTCACCCCCCTCCCCTCCCTCACCTTGCCTTCACCCCCCTTCCCTCCCTCACCTTCCCTTCACCCCCTCCCCACTGAGGCACAAAGCTAGCAGTCAAGATGGCGTCGATATGGCCCTGAGACTCTACCGTAACTAGTTTGACTGATTTTCTTGTTGTTTATGTTAGAAAGTTAGAAAGTTTGACTGATTTTCTTGTTTATGTTAGAAAGTTTGACTGATTTTCTTGTTGTTTTTTGTTAGAAAGCAAAATAAAAATAAAATATCACACACTTCCATCTTCTCTTTCTTCCTCCTTCACTTACTCATCCTTTCTCTATTTCTCTCTAATTATCTCATTTTTCCTCTCTCTCTCTCTCTCTCTCTTCCTCCCCTAAGTAGAGAGAATTACCTGAGAGAATTACCTCAGGGGAAGAAAGAACAAGACTCATTTTTATCCATCTTCTTCAGTAAAGGTTGACAGAATATGAGAGGCTGAAAGAAATACCATCAAAGGCTTTATAGAGAATGTATTGAGCCTGAAGGATGGAAGGAGGGAAGGAAGGAAGGAAGGAAGAGAAGGAAGGAAGAGAAGGAGGAAGGTAAGAGAGAGAGGGAGGAGACACCATAAAGAACGTGTCATCATTATCTGCCCACGTTAAGGTATTTTATATAGTGGAGACGTGTGTACCAGTGGTGAGTTTATTAATATGTGTACACCTGTAGGTCATACCAGGTGAGTGTCTATCTATCTATATATCTGTCTGTCTGTCTGTCTGTCTGTCTATTTATCTATATCTATCTATCTATCTGTCTTTCTGTCCGTCTGTCTGTCTGTCTATCTATCTATCTATCTATCTATCTATCTATCTATCTATCTATCTATCTATCTATCTATCTATCTATCTATAACCTCTGCAGGCATCGAACATCCTCCACACACACACACACACACACACACACACACACACACACACACACACACACAGGCTCCTCATCAGACAAATTTCAGTGGGAACCAGTTCACTCTATGACCTATGACCTCAATTACCTGAGGTACTACCAATCAGGGGCGTCAGGGTGAAGACACGAGAGAGTTAGTGTGAGGGTGGGTGGGGGTGGGGGGGGTGTGTGGTGGGGTGTGGGAGGTGTATGTGGGGGGGTAGGTTTGTGCTAAAAATCCAACCAACAGCTAAAAACTGCAACCCAACAGCTAAAAACTTAAGCTACACCACCACACAGCCCCCAGACTCACGCTAAAAGACACTTATTCTCCTTTAATCAATAAGTAACCTCACCTGGGCGACTTTTAACTAATATATAACTTAACTAAGCTCAAAGCACCTACCAACCTACCTGTCTAGTTATTTTACCTGCCAAGAAATAGTACCAGGTATGAGATGAGTGGTGCTGGGGGGTAGTGGTGGTGGTGGTGAGGCAGTGTGGTGTGGTGAGGGGGTGGGGTGGTGTGGTGGTGAGGGGGTGGTGAGTAGTGGTGGTGGTGGTGGTGAGGGGCGTGGTGATGATGGTGAGGGGGTGGTGGTGGTGGTGGTGGTGAGGTGGTGGTGGTGGTGGTGGTGGTGGTGAGGCAGTGGTGGTGATGGTGAGGTGGTGGTGGTGGGGGTTGAACTGGGTTAATGAGAGGTTGGGTCAGGTACTGTAGTTTAATAAGGCGGATGGCTCTAGTCCCGAACACCTCTGCGTCAGGTGGTATTAAGGAACAGAGGTAGAGTCGTGAACACCTGTGCTTTGGAGATTAAGGCCGCAAGGAGGGAGAGAGAGAGAGAGAGACGGAGGTCGACCCTCACCTGTGTTTCCGTCTGACTGATACCATCATCACCGTCCCCCCAGCACCTGAATACTCCAAATTGGGGTAATGCGACGGTTACCGACAATGGTGGCTGAACTGTAAGAGAAATATGGATAAAGTGTGAGAATTAGAGCAAGATTGGAAGAGAAATTGTACATAGGCCATTAAGAATTATGGCTCGTCTGTGAAAGATTTTTTAACCCTCTTGTTATTATGATGGATTGTTGATATGGAAGACCATACCCTCTCCCCCCTTCCTCTTCACCCCCCCACTTCACCCCCCTCCTCACTACTCCTCTACCCCTCCAGCTGTGTGATAGTGTGTTCTGAGGCAGTCACGCTACACCTACCACCACCCCTACCATCACCCCTACTACCACCCTTACCACCACTACCACCACCTACCGCCACCACCACTACTACCCCTACCACCACCTCTACCACCTACCACCCTACCCCTACCATCACCCCTACCTACCACCACCCCTACCCATCACACCTACCACCACCCCTACCATCACCCCTACACCACCCCACCGCCACCCTACTACCCCTACCACCACCCTACCCCTACCACCCACCCCAACCATCACTTCCCCACCACCACTACCTACCCCTACCACCACCCCACTCACACCCACCACCCCACCTACCCCTACCCACCTTGTAATTTTTGTTTCTCTTTTTAATTTTCACTTTACACTTCAATTCCCACATTAATTCTTCCATTTCCACTGTAAGAGAAGAAGGATGGGAGGAAGAGGAGCAGAAGGAAGGATGGGAGAGATAAGGAAGGATGGAGAGCTAGAAAAGTGGAGATGGAAGTGAGAGGTAGAGTGAGAGGGGTGAGGTGAGGGAAAGGTAGAGTGAGGGAGGTAGAGAGGTAGGGAGTGGGGGTTAGTTAGATAGGCAGGACACGTATCCACCTCAAAGGTTGGCTTTTACCGGGCGTCGGGAAGGGGGGGAGGGGGAGGTGGCAGGTAGGCAAGGGGAGAGTGAGGGAAGGTAGGAGGAGAGAGGAAAGGGAGGGGGACGTCAAATACCTGTGGCATTTAACAAAGAATTGGAAAGAAAAAACAAAAACAAAAAGAATAATAAAACTGAAAGAAAAGAAAGAAATTGACAGAATATAATAAAAGACAAGAATGATTTTGTGTCGTTATGAATGAGATAATAATTGCAACAATACGTAAAAATAAGGATTAAGATATAAAATAAATAATAAGAATGTGAAGTAAAATGAATAACTTGTGGAAATGAAAAAAAAATGGGAAAAATTTATAGTTCTTTTTCACTTTAGTCAGGCACGATAGGTGGTCGACCTGCACACGCCTCCCTACACGGATATACACACGGGCACACACGGACACAGATACGGACATGTAGGTACTTGTTCGTAGAGATAATTAAAGATAATGAGAAATATATTTCTTCTTATAATTATCGGAGGTTAACTTGATAATTATCCAGGCTTGTTAATTTGCCGGGATATTTTAACATTATCCGGGGTTAATGATCTATTATCCCAGGGTAAATTTAACATCTGGAATACTTTAACATTATCCAGGTTAATTATCCAAGGTTAATTTCTGAGGGTGAGCTCGAGCCAGGTGACACTCAGGTGGTAATTAAATTATTCCTCACCTTCAGGTAACGTCAACAACTTTTAACTTGTGGTCGTAATGCTGACAGACAGGTGGGGGGAGGGGGGGAGGGTGGGGGAAGAGTGGGGGAGGGTGGGGGGTAGAATAGGAAGGGTTGGTGATGAAGAGGTGGTTGTAGTGGTGGTGATGTGGTCTCTCTCTCTCTCTCTCTCTCTCTCTCTCTCTCTCTCTCTCTCTCTCTCTCTCTAATCATCCACTCATAAAAAAACGTGACTTGTATTTTAGCTTCATAAGTGTAAAATAAATATAATTATCCTCGTTCACGGACACTAACCACCCCCCTCCCTCCCCTACAGTGGCTTGTTCTACGGTGACAGTGTCGAGGTGTCAGGCGGCACTGAGGACGTTGGTTCAGTTCCCATGGTTCCAGCCAACTTGTCTCTGTAAGGAACCAAGACTCGACCCGCAGTGTAATATCTTCAGGGACCTCGTCTTCGACCACCCCGCGTCTTCGTCACCAGGAGAGTAAGGTGTGTGTGTGTGTGTGTGTGTGTGTGTGTGTGTGTGTGTGTATGTGTGTGTGTGTGTGTGTGTGTAAACAAAAGGTAAACAATGCAATTAATGTCTACCACAACGCCTGGGTGTCACAAGATGGCGGAGGAGATTGAACAACTTAGATAAAAGAACTAGTGTAATTATCTTCCTTAGAGTGTATTGAATAACTTGCTTGAGGGAAGATGGGGAAAGGAGAGGGACCATTTTCTCACGAGGAAGGAGGAAAGAAGATAGGGAGGAAAGAAAGAATAAGGGAAGGGAAGGAGAGATAGAGAGAGAGGAGGGAGAGGGACGTAAGAAGGGAGGAGAGAGGAACATAAGAAAGAAAGGGAAAGAAGAAGAAACGACAGAAGGGGGTAGAATGGGGAATGGAAAGAGATAAAGGGGAAAGGGTAGGCAAGGGAGAGAGAGGGGGGTACCACCTGACACCGCTTCTCTCTCGTGATGACCAAACTAAATCACTCATTATGTAAATCAGCGAACAATATGAACTCATCAGTGTGTCTGGTGCCTGAAGGACCTGCTCATCCCGCTGTAGGGGTGTGGGAGGTGTAGGGGTGGGGAGGGGTGTAGGGGTGTGGGGAGGTAGGGTGTGGGAGGGGTGTAGGGTGTGGTGATGTATGTATGTATGTGTGTATATGTGTATAGTATGTATGTATGTATGTATCTATGTATATGTATGTATGTATATGTATGTATGTATGTACACATAACAGAGTACCAGTACCTATAACCCTTTCCACGCTAATCTGGCCCATAAGCCACGCCCCCTCTTCTATACTAATAGCTGATTGGTTCAAAGAAAATTTAAACTAAATGTGTTCACAATTGGTAAACAGATCTGTTATTATCTAAAATAATGTTAAATATCTGACTATCAAAATGCAAATGATTTCAAGGCATTATCACTTCAGAGAGGATGTTAGAAAATTTTAAATATTTATCATAAAAGGTCGATATAAATTGTCGTAGTCCGGGGGGGGCGGAGTAAGATGGTCAGGGGAACCAATCAGCTATTTGTAGGGGCGGGGCTTATGGGCCAGGTTAGTGTGGAATGGCTCTAGTGATGTAACTATGTAGACTAAATGTATAAAACCCACAGCTACATGTATACCAAGCCTATGTATACCTTCTAATACATAGAAAGAATGTATAGAGATGTGTTGATACATGACCCACTGTGTGTACAAGGATATACATAATGCACTAAGGGGGAAGAATTCTTTGTTGACATACACTTGTACCTCTGAGTAAAAGATCTAGTCTCAAAATCTCTCTCACTATCTCTCTCAGTCTCTTTAATGTCTCACTATCTCTCTCAGTCTCTTTAATGTCTCAAAAAATACCTGTAGTAATTGTCTTGTTTATTGTTTCAAGAAGAAGAAAGAACGAACTTATAGACAGTGAAATTCTCCTCTGAGTGAAGATGGAAGTTATGACACAAACAGCAAGACCATCTGCAGATATACCTTGAGAGAGAGAGAGAGAGAGAGAGAGAGAGAGAGAGAGAGAGAGAGAGAGAGAGAACAGGAGGCGATAATCATTAGAGGAACAGAAAAACAAATTATAATAACCTAGAAAGAAAGAAAGAAAGAAAGAAAGAAAAGAAAGCTCTCTGATGAATGACGTCAGAAAATAGGAAAATCGTCTTGAGAGCAACTTAAAGAAACGTATATATATTGTATGTATGTATGTATGTATGTATGTATGTATGTATGTATGTATGTATGTGTGTCAGCATTATCATCACAAACTCCCTCTATATCATCAGTATATAAACATTGCAGTGAACGCGTTTTTCTTTCATTATTTACGTATGATAATAAACTCCTTGAAAAACAACAAAACAAAGTCAATTTTCTTTACACGTTGGGTAAGACAGAAAGAAGAAAGGAAAAATGAAAGAACTAAAGATAGAAAGAGTTTATTTTAGTTTATTTATCTACTAATACTTATAAATAAAAGCTACACAATTTAAAACAATATTTTTTTATTTTTTTATTTTTTTTCGTCGGAGGTTTGAAGTCGTCGGATGCAGCCAGACACGCCACACCAACAGCGGATTAAGTCGAATTTATCTCTCAAGAACGATGACTGTCTGCAGGAGAAACTGTCAACTGAGGGAGGGAGGGAGGAGGTCTGGTGTGTGTGTGTGTGTGTGACTGATAGCTGATGGAGAGGGTTGCTTGTGGTGGTGACAGTGCTGGCATAATCCTTCCAGTTTTTATATTATTTTTAGTATCATAGTTTTACCATAATATTCCGTTTTCTTTGATGTTGTTCACGGCTGAAGTCATTACATGTGTCGTAAGAATGTCTACTCGTGTCATTTGTGAATCAGAACATCAGTGTGTATAGTTATTTTATTTTTGTATTCTTTTACTGATAATAATACTGATTGTAATAATAATCGTAGTTGTAATTGTAAAGTCTGATTGTATTACACCTGTAAGTCCCAGGTAGGGTATGTCATTAGTGGGGTGATTGTATTTATTTTATTGTTGTGTTGAATTCAGGTGTCTTAAGAGATCCCCAGGTGCCTCTTACACGCTCTCCTGCACCACTCGCACACTCCTACACACTCCCCCACGCTTTCCTAGACCCTTTCACACTCCTACACACCTCTCCTCCCACCCCACTTTCGACCCTCTCACCTCCTACACACCCTCTCACACTCCTACCACCCCCACGCTTTCTAGACCCCTCTCACACTCCTACACACCCTCCTCACACCCTACACACTCCCCCACGCTTTCCTAGACCCCTCTCACACTCCTACACACCGCACTCCCCCACACGCGCCACTTGAACGTTGTCAGCAGCCATCTGTATATTAACCACACACACACACACACACACACACACACACACACACACACACGTACGTCTATAACCCAGAGAGCAGAACACCCACCACATCTGACACTAAAAAACCATTTTATTATCCCCAGTGAGTCGACGAGGCACACACTCCCCTCCCACAGACGTAAGACCCCACCCCACCCCCCACCACCCACACACCCACACACAGTTCTCCATACTTGAAAGGGATCCTATCTGGCGCTTAAATCATTCGCCTGCTTGTGTAATTCAGTCATAGTTGTGGACTTGTCCATTTGATTTCAATAATTTGAATATTAGACTTCAAAGGCTTGGGGTCCCAGGGCCTTTCAAGCGACGCTCTTAATCTTCTGTCGGCCACCGTGTGTGTGTGTGTGTGTGGTGTGTGTGTGTGTGTGTGTGTGTGTGTGTGGAATGTAAACTGACCTTTCTATTTACTTGTTCCTTCACCATACTCAACCATCGTCATGAACTGATACCTTGCTCATGACATACAAACACACACACACTTACAGCGCGTTAAAGGAAAAAATACAGAATGTGAAAAACTAGAGACAAAATACATTCATCTATCACCAGTGTTAGAGAGAGAGAGAGAGAGAGAGAGAGAGAGATTTTCGATGATTTTAAGAGTAAACAAACAATTGATTCTCAAGAAGTCCTCAAGAATCCTCTTTCTCTCTCTCTGACCTGATACCTCATACCATATTCTTGAGTCCAGCTGTCACCTCATCGTCTTAGGGTCTGTCAACCTCATGCGTACTTTCAGGTCTGAGTGTGAGGCAGTTTATGAGGAAGAGGCAGTCTGAGTGTCAAGTGGTCTGAGTGTGAGGCAGTTTATGAGGAAGAGGCAGTCTGAGTGTCAAGTGGTCTGAGTGTGAGGCAGTTTATGAGGAAGAGGCAGTCTGAGTGTCAAGTGGTCTGAGTGTGAGGCAGTTTATGAGGAGGAAAAGGTCTCTGAGTGTGGTGTCAACATCGAGCTTGAAGGAAAATTCTCATAAGCTTTTGTTTTAAACTTTTCACACACACACACACACACACACACACACACACACACACACACACACACATTATTTCTCAACTGGAATAAATAGTTAGAGAGAGAGAGAGAGAGAGTATAATTATGTGGTTGTGGGGAGGGTGTGGTGGGAGGGGGAGGGTGTGGGTGGAGGGGTGGTGGGTAGGAGATTAACAAGGACATATTGTGGAGAGGAAAAGTGAAGAGAGACACAAGAGAGAGCGTACACTGCTGCCCACCAACAGCTTGGGCCAGGAGGGAGGGGGAAGAGGGGAGACTGGGTTGGGGAGGTGGAGGAGAGAGGGAAAGTGAGAGAGGGAGGTCAGTGAGAGGGAAGAGGGGTTGGAGATGGCGTGGAGGAGGTGACAGAGTAGTGGGAGAGGGGGGTGAGGAGGTGGGAGAGGGAGTGACAGTGAGTGAAGGTGGAGGGGTGGAGGAAGGAGGAAATAAACGATGGGCAGGAGGAAGAAGAGGAGAAATGAAGAGGGAAGAAGGGAGGGAGGGGGGGCAGAAAAGATGAGGATACGGTTAACAAATTTATTGACAAAGCTTGGAGTACAGTCAGCAATTCGCGGACGAGGGATCTCGGGTGGTAGTAGGAGCCGGTGTATGTGTGTGTTTTATGATGACGTGTTCTCCTCCTTCCTGCAGAAGTGGACATGCACCCTCTGAAACACATCCCTACCTGTGGAGAGGCTGCTGAGATCTGCAGAGATAACCCTTGGTGTAAACAGAGGCTGGACATGTTCCGTAGTACCTGCAAGTTCCGTGATGGTCATTGCCGTAATCCAGACAGGTGAGTGATATGTTCCGTATTACCTGGATTATTTACCTTAATTACCATTTACCTAATATTACTGTCTTATGGCTAATTATTAGACATTATCCTTCCATAGTGATCCAGTGTGACCAACTCATCTTGAGACACCTTACTGCATCAAATGACTTGTCTTAACCTCCCACTAACTACACACTTTAATACTAATAAATACTCAGTATCTCAAAAAACAGCGTATAATACAACCAACTTACTCCGTTACTGATATTCATGGTAATTTGAATTTAAATATGTATGAAGTAGAAGTATATATATATATAAATTAATGTATATATATATATTCTTACTCTTTCCAAGCTTAGTGTGAACTGCATTAAGCGAGGGTGTTTTTATGATGCCTTTCTGACCTGAATGTGTTTTGGGAGGAGGTGAAGGGCTACTAAGTGTGTGTGTTAGTGGTACGCGAGTTTTCCATAAAGGATAAGTAGTTTAGAGTCGTTTAATTTAATTGTATATGAAAGGTTATAATGCCCACGCACACACACACACACACACACACAAATCACTCCTCACCAACGACCTTCATTCTCAAAACAACTTCACTACAACAAAACAAACTCACTAACACGAGGAACATCACTGCGTCGCGTTCTTCTTTATGTGTTCATTGAGCTGAAGTTTGTGATCTGATGTTGGTGAAGTTCTGTAGTCCCGGGGCTGATGTTATTGTGGGGCTGAAGTTGTGATCGGTACTTGGGGGCTGGAGGTGTGTGTGTGTGTGTGTGTGTGTGTGTGTGTGTGTGTGTGTGTGTGTGTGTGTGTGTGTCCTCCCTCTCACCTCCACACATTACCTCCACACATTACCTCTAACGTCAGTGAGTAACGGAGGCCAGCGCCACACTAATGAGCGCGTCCATATCACACCTGTCCCTGTCACCTGCCTTTGTCACCTGTCTATATCACCTGTCTATGTCACCTGTCCGTGTTACTTGTCCTTGTTATTTGTCCGTGTGATTTTTGGTATAATTTGTTTGAGTGTGAGAGGGACAGACAGAGAGACAAAGAGAGAATCAGACAGACAGACAGACAGACAGACAGACAGACAGACAGACAGACAGAAGTATACCGAGAAACGAGTAATATCCACGAGCAGTAAAAGAAAACTACCCAGAATAAGTTAGTTGTAAAATACTCACGTTGTATGTATGTATGTATGTATGTATGTATGTATGTATGTATGTATGTTTACTATGAGTACTAAAGTAAACCTACCAATTTCAACCTACCACAACCACAATAACTATTATACCAACAACAACAACCACAACAAACTCTACCCAGGAGCTGCTCACACCCAGTCAGTATAGGAAGCAAGTGTCTGGGACTATGTGGTATGGATCTAAGGAAGGAGTTTCTACCGAGGCATTGAGGCAGATAGAAGGAGTGAGAGGCAGGGAGAGTTAAGTGAGAGGGAGGGAGGGGTAAAGTGACCCAGGGAGAGTTAAGTGAGAGGGAGGGAGGGGTAAAGTGACCCAGGGAGAGTTAAGTGAGAGGGAGGGAGGGGTAAAGTGACCCAGGGAGAGTTAGGAAGAGGGAGAAAAACTCAGGGAGAACCAGAGAGAAGGGAGCTTTTATACTTGCGATTACACATTGTTATTTCCATCCACTCAGTTGGATTGGCTGTGTGGATTCATCACGAACGACAACATTGTGATCTTTTGTCTGTGTGTGTGTGTGTGTGTGTGTGTGTGTGTGTGTGTGTGTGTTTGTTTGTTTGTTTGTTTGTTTGTTTGTGTATATACTGGGTAGGGGTTGGTGGCTGGGTAGGAGCATCTATAGACGAGTTCTTTGATAGGGAAAGTGACTTGGGAGGTTCTCTTGTGAGGATTTAGTCTTTTGTGAACGTGATTGTGAGAGAGAGAGAGAGACTGTGGGAGGAGGAATTATTTTAAAACAAATGAACATCAAAGGTGTTTTGTGTGTGTGTGTGTGTGTGTGTGTGTGTGTGTACAATAACTATTAAACCCGACAGTACATAAAAAACCACAATGCAGATTCATTTTATTATCATCATTGAAACATTTTAATCATTGATAAATATTCCATGTCCACAAAATATTAACTCACATATAAGAAAAAAATATGAAAGAAATAAAAATATGTTTCAATTAAGTAATGCGTCGGAACCATTTTAGTTAATAGGTGTGTGTTATAATTATTGAAAACTGTATCTATGTTGTGTAATGTTTATACTGTAGCTTATGTAATACAGTGTGAGGTACAGGTACAGTGTATGTGGTTCAGGTAGACTTAGTAATTACTGTACCTGGTAAACAAAGGTATGTTCATTAATTTTTTTTTAATTTTTTTTTAATAATATTGTGTGTGTGTGTGTGTGTGTGTGTGTGTGTGTGTGTGTGTGTGTGTGTGGTTCGTGTACATGTGTTTACCTGGAGGAAAGGACAGGTATCCCCAGGTGTACTTGAGGTGAGTAGCCATGTTATCTTGTAATATTTTCCACCTTAAGGAGACGAAAGGAAGGAACTTATTATCTGATCAGTATAATTTATTGGTGGTGGTAGTTGTGATGGTAGTAGTGATAGTGATGGTGGTAGTGATAGTGATGGTGGTAGTGGTGGTGGTTGTGGTGGTGGTAATGGTGGCAGTGAGTTGGAATATGTCTGTGCTCAAGGGTTAATGTTGGGTGAATTGGGATGATTAAATAAAGTGATCTGGGAGTGGCCATGAAGGACGAGGGCACCGCTTGACTAAGGGCCTGCTGCTGCCTGGTGAGGGAGGAACTGCCTGAAGGAGGAGCTGCCTGACGAAGGAGGAGCTGCCTGACGAAGGAGGAGCTGCCTGACGAAGGAGGAACTGCCTGACAAAGGAGGAGCTGCCTGACGAAGGAGGAGCTGCCTGACGAAGGAGGAGCTGCCTGACGAAGGAGGAACTGCCTGACGAAGGAGGACGAAGGAGGAACTGCCTGACAAAGGAGGAGCTGCCTGACGAAGGAGGAGCTGCCTGACGAAGGAGGAGCTGCCTGACGAAGGAGGAACTGCCTGACGAAGGAGGAGCTGCCTGTCGAAGTGAATACCGCCACTGACGAAGAAGAAGGCGACGCCAACACAGACACTCCACCACGCTCTTCCCCAAATTGTAAGACTTGGCCCTGATATATTACCCCGCCACCTTGTCATTTCCGGTGATAAGAAAACCTGCGTAATTCTCAAAGGCAAACTCCAGAGTCTTAGATTATAAACAGAAGAAGACACAACATCTCTTTGACATGAAAATGACTTCATGGTCGACTGATGATGACATGACCCACGCACGTCTGTCTGGCTGAGGGACAAAGCAGACACACACACACACACACACACACACACACACACACACCACACACACACACACACACACACACACACACACACACACTCTCTCTCATTCTCCCTGATGGTCACCTCCCAGACCACGACCCCTGACCCACATACTACACTCCCCTCCCTGACCCACATACTACACACATACTACCTTCCTGACCCACATACTACAACCCCTTCCCCTGACCCACATACTACACCCTTCCCCTGACCCCGACACCACATACTACCTCCTTCCCCTGACCCACATACTACACCCCTTCCCCCACACCCTTCCCTGACCCACATATGACACCTCCTTTCCTGACCCACATACTACACTCCTTCCCTGACCCACATACTACACCCCCTGACCCACATACTACACCCCTTCCCCTGACCCACATACAGCACCTCCTTCTCCCCTGACCCACATATGACACCTCCCCTAACCCACATACTACACCTTTCCCCTGACTCCACATATCCTTTCCCCTGACCACATACTACACCTTTCCCTGACCCACATACTACCTCCTTCCCCTGACCCACATACTAAATATCTCCTTGTGTCAACGTTGAATAATTGATCTTTTGAAAATACAATTTCCTTAAAAAAATGAAAGGGTTTTGTCTTTGCAAACACGATCTAAGAAAAGAACGCCAGCATTGTATTCAACTTTTCCCCAAAGTTTTCCTCAGTATCGTGTCCTAACTTGAGGTCGTTCAGTATTGGTGATAAAACCACAAATAACGACAGAAGACATTAGTCGTACTTCCCCAAACATCCTTCATTTACCTGAGTGGGATCTGTTATGTTACCTGTCCTGTGTGTGTGTGTGTGTGTGTGTGTGTGTGTGTGTGTGTGTGTGTGTGTGTGTGTGTGTGTGTGTGTGTGTGTGTGTGTGTGTGTGTGTGTGTAAGACTGTTTTTGGTCATTATTCTTATCACTCGTAAGACCTTCAGCTGATTACAAGACGTCAGAGATGAAATGGTTAATGAGTGTTTACCAGGTGTCATCGAGAGTGTTGTAGTAAATGATGTTGGCACTAATACCAGCATAATAAGGTTTGTTAGCACTCTTGAGGGCGTTGTAAGGCTAGAGACTTTGTGTGTGTGATAAAGACCCTCTTCTCTACCCCGCCTGGCAGGGAGGACTGTATGAAGTCGTGGCTGCAGCTGAGAGAGACGCCGCTACTGGGATGTATCTGTCCTGACGATCACGACAAGAAGTGTTCCCGCCTCTACTCCCTGGTGAACGAGAACCCGTGTGTGGGTGAGTCGCCTCCTCCTGTTATCACGCCTTACCCTCCTGTTATCACGCCTTACCCTCCAGTTATCACGTCTTACTCTCTTCCTCTTCATAAGCTCTTTACTCTCTTACTTATCTATCGTATTATTTACCCTTTACTCTAACACAATCCTACTTATTGATGTTTCCAGGTCGCATTATAATTATACATGCCTATATATCTGTTTTATATGTTATTTCCAGGTTATAAGAGACAAGACTTCAAATATGAATCTCCTCAGGTAATATACGGGGAGAGATATAGGAAAACGTAATTATATTCATGATTTCGTTACTATATAAGAAAAATTATGATATGTGATTAATTCTACGCTATATTCATGTTGATTTTGTTTATAAGGGACTTAAATTATTATTTTTTATTTTACCAAAAAATTATGGATTAATATTCCTCTTTCAGATTTTAAAGTGAAAAAAAACATATTAAAACCTCCCTTTAACGGACCTCGAGCTAATGAATATAGTCTATTATATGGAGGTTTAACGGACTTCGATTTACCGGACTGTTTCCATCGATATAGTCCGTTATAGGGAGGTTTCATATTTAACCTCGATTTACCGGACTATTTTCACCCATATAGTCCGTTATAGGGAGGTTTCGTATATAACGGACCAATACTGTCTCACATACTCAAATTCATACCAAAT